TATGGAAGACTATCGTATGTATATCATGTTTATCACAAAATCTTGATTGACTGTATTTTATTTATTTTGGATTTTTATTCATTTTCAACATATTATTTCTATCATTTTATAGCTGGTAACTGTAATCCCGTTGATGTTTACCCTAAAAAAACAAAGTTATACGCTAGGAAACATAATCCTTTCATTTCAATGGACACCATAAGAAATAATGCAACTCGTTGTGCGAAAATAGTTCCTGCTACCCAACTTGATACCGATATAAATGCTGATCAATTACCACAAGTTGTCTATTATACACCAAATCAAAAAAATGATGGACATGACACTGGTGTAGCATTTGCAGACAATTGGTTAAAAAATTGGCTTGAACCAAAACTTCTTAAACCAGCATTCACAACAAATACATTAATCTTTGTCACTTTTGATGAAGATGACGATACTGAAGGCAATCATATTTACAGCAGTCTTCTCGGTACTCCTGTTGTTCCTCCTGCCAGCCATAACGACACTACCGCTTACACCCTCTTTTCATACTTGTCTACCTTAGAGCAAAATTGGAATTTGCAAAATTTAGGTAGAAATGATACCACTGCGACACCCTTTACCCAATATTTGGTACATCCTTAATTTTAATTATAAACTAGATAAAACGTTACATCAGATGACATAATTAGGATAAACTAATTAAATAGTAATAGATATAATTGTCATAATTATCATACATATATATTATTATGTTATTACGTATCATATATTACCTTTGAATTATTTAAAGATTCTTGCATAAATGAATATCAATGATTCAGAATTCTATTATCTATTCAGCGTAAAATAGAAGTAGAATAATTATTATATTATATTTAGTTTATTTACAATGTTTTTTAATATTTATCTTTATTGTTCTTAATTGCCTATGCTTTATTGTTCTTAATTGCTTATATATGTTCTTAATTACTTATGTATTTACTCTAAAGCATTTAATAAATTTATAAACTTGGCCTTTTTTTATCTATATTTAATGAATTTTATTTATAAATTCCATAGTATGACATTGTAGAATCGCTAAAATATATATTTAAGTATTTATCAAAAAAAGCATTCTCTATACATTATTTAATATTAGAATGTGATTATTATATTATTATTCATTTTTTTGCTTAATGTTATTTAATGATCTAAACCGTTCAATGAATAACTGAGCATATGGTAAACCAGTTATTTTAACGATTCACCATTATACTATCTTAAATTCATCCATGTAATTTAATAATTGC